ACAACTGCCACAAAGTACACTACCACAAAAACTTCATTACTTTACATCTTACATTTTACCCTGTTAAATATTCCTGTAAATATTAACGAAATTGGTTAAAAAGTTTATCACCCATCACCTGAGTTGGCAGCCATTTGAGAGCAAGAATATGTAAGAACAAGACATAAACTAAAATAAGTCTTTTTAACCTGGTGTCCATGGATAGATTCTAGGGAGTCCTTGAATTTAAACTGGAAAAAAATCCTTCTATATTTTTACTAACTTCTAATGGAAATTTAAGATTTCTTTCAACTATTAAAAAAACATTATTCCAATAAGGGGTCCACAGGTTTTATTTTTTACCCAACTGTCAAAAGGGTGTATGACCCAAAAAAAGGTTAAAAACCTCTGTGTTAAACTGCAGGACTAGGGAAGCAAGAAACTCTGACAGAGAAGGGCCAAGAAGGCCAAACATGTGCTTTTCTAGTTTTACACTTTATATACTTATCTTTTATTATTGAGACAGTAGGGTGCTGTGGCCTTTGACGCCAGAAAGACATGGATTCAAATAGTGCTTTTGACACATATTTTCTATGTGATCCTGGGCAAGTCACTTAATCTCTGAATGCTCCCAAAGAATTCTAAATTGCAAAAATGATCTTGATCAGTATTAGTAGAGGGAGTTTCTCAATAGGAACTTAAATAAATTCACGGGTCCAGTTTTGTTTTTTTTTAATATCATTATAATCTTTTAATATGTTCCAATTCCAATGGCAACTATGTGGCACTACCATCCATTAACATACAGCTGAGATCAATGTTACTTGAGCTGTCACACAGTGGGGATATAGTCTAAGTTATAAAGGAGTGCATTTGTTCCCTTACAAATATATCCTTTAAAATAAATGTCTTACGAGACGGCTACCATGAGACTACTACTGAACAAGACTGTTTCATCAAGACACACAAATGCAGTTGTTACACTGAAAATCCAAGGAAACAAGGCTGGTTCTTCTTGCCATCTAGTGTGCTGATTGATTCAAATAAGATTAAGAAAAGAATAATTTATTTTCCATTGGTTTTTCTACTTAAAAAACTTTTTTTTGGCCTTATATCATATCCTGAGATCACCTGAAGGAGTTCAGTGTGTCTGTTTCTTGTCCAGCTTTGGAGTAAGGAGAATTCCATTCTACGGGAAAACCTCACTCCTGTTCTTAAAACTACCAACTGGGGAACCATGTACTCAGCTGACCCTATGCCTATCAGAATGCTAAGGGTACAAATTGAAAATGAAGGACAATTACAATTCAAAAGACTGTGACTGAAAAAAACAACAACAACAACAACTTAGGGCTTACATATTCTATGCCAGGCTTTTGGTCTGACTGGAATTCATTATTCAAGGTGTCAGCTACAATTCTTTTATGACCACTGATAAGAGTTAACTAACCTAAGTTGAAAGTAGAATTTATAACAAAAGAAAACATTTTTTACTCTTGGATTTTCCCTATCTGACTCAGTTTTCCAATTTATTCCAGTTGTTAAAACACACACAAACACAAAACCACAACTCTCTTTTTCTGGGAGAATAAGCAGCTGAAGGGGAAAAGGAGAAAAGAAAACAAAGGAATGGCCTTAAAAAAAAACCTCTCATTTGCTGCCTATGGACTGCAGTCATTTTATTCCTTAAACTGTTCTTTTTGGTAGTGAATCTTCCTCATTATTATGGGAGGGCGAGAACAATGACGACTAGGAAACTGATGGTAGGTCTAGAGAAAATTCATTTCCATCATCAAAGCCAGACAAGAGTTGCATCAGAATAGCACAGCCCAGACAATTACTGAGCTGATGAAGTGACATGCTGAAAAATTCTCTCTCCATATTTTTTCCAACTCTCAAATGAGTCTGACCAGAGACTGAGCTGTGGAATTTTAGCAACAGCTGGTTACATACCACTCTAGAATATGTTTTTCGTATCAGCCAAACACATCAGTTTGTCTCTCAATGGGAAGATTCTTGTTGTTTTTATGGAGGAAATACCCATTATTTTTAGCAACTAAAGGAAACAATGAATAGTTGCAAGAGTCACTGAAGCCAAAAGTAAACAGTACTATAAACAATGATTTCCAATAATAGCAGGACTGTGTAAATTCAGCTAAACTGTATTTTCCAAAGAGGTTACCCTCTCTGGAAACATTTTCACAGCCTTTAAGCTTTCATTCTTGAAAGACCACTAATTGTTAGATCAAAACAGATTATTACAGACAATGCTAGTCAGCTTCTGTGTCATCTCTACTTCTTGTTCCGTCATCCCATCACAATTTCAAATACAACAGCATACACAGCTGCACCTATTGTTTTTCCATAGAGAGAATTTCAATAGTAGCTTTCAGATGCTTGTTTTGAAAATACTGTCAATTAGTTAAGATTTCACCCTTCATCTCATTTTTACTCCTTCTCTTTAGGAAATGAAAATCACCTACTAAAATATCTGCAAACTCCTATACTTCTCTTCCGAATCCTTGCTCTTGACATATAGACCCAGTGTTGGGGAATCTGTGTTTCTCAGGAGGGCCACGGGCCCACACGTGCCTAACATGTTTGAAGTCCACCAGCAGTACACTGTACTGCTGTAATGGCATGTTAAATTTTCAGTGTTAGCATTTACACCTGTGAAATTGGATCACAGCTTCATTTATTGTTCTGTTGATGGTCTAGACTTAAGAAAGTGTTAATAATGCAGATTAAATTTAACTGTGTGTACTGAGTACATTCCCCCCCCACTCCCAGATGGGTGTTAAATATTTCCCAGTATACCCCTAAAGTCCACACACAAATAAAAAGCCATTTTATATTTTTTTCAAAGAGAAATACTTCAAGTTGAATTGGAAAAGTCTAAAATATTCTATTTTTTGTGCTTTTAAATTAGGACGTGAATAAAATCATTTCATGTCTTTAAGATTATATATGAAATTACATAATTCATATCTATCAACCTGCTTCTCCATGGGGGTGGGGAAGAACATTCATTAATTAAGTTCCTATTATTTTCAGTACCAGTTATGTGCTTTACAAATATTAGTTAATTTACTCCTCATAGCAGCCCCGGGAAGGAGGTAATGTTATTTAACCCCATTTTATAGTTGAGGAAACTGAGGCAGACAGAAGTTTAAATGATTTGTTCAGGGTCACACAGCTAGCAAGTGTCTGAGGCCAAATTTGAACACGTCTTCCTGACTCCGAGAACACTGCATTCTGTCCACTTCTCCACCTAGCTGCCAAATATATATCATGTACAATGACTATAAGGAGTCATCACTAAGATGCACTCTATCTATTGCATCACTCAGATACCTCAGTATAATCCATAGCACTTTGGCAAATGTTAAAATGCTTTATAATTGTTAGTCGTTACATACATTTAAATTCTCTATTAAAGTTAATCAAAAGGATAGAGCAGAAGTTCTTAACCTGGATTCACTGATTTAAAAAGATTTTGAAAACTGTAAATAACTGTAATCCTATGTGTTTCATTTCATTCTTTTTTTTTTTTGGTGAGGCAATGGGGGTTAAGTGACTTGCCCAGGGTCACACAGCTAATAAGTAAGTGACTGAGGCCGGATTTGAGCTCAAGGTCCTCCTGACTCCAAGGCATGAGCTCTATCCACTGCGCCAGCTAGCTGCCCCTCATTTTATTCTTTTAAAAATATTATTCTGAGAAGGGGTCCCTGACATACACAACAACAACAACAACAAAAAAAGTTAAGAACTCCTGAAAGTGGAAAAAGGCAAAGAAAAAAGAGAGAAAGGGAGAGGGAGGAGGAGAAGGAATGAGCAACAGAGACAGACAGATACAGAGGGAGATTAAAAGATGTAAGGAGAAGGGGAAGTACAAAGATGCTCTTTAGATCCTAAGGTGAGGGTCTCATTTTGAAGTGAACCATCTTCCCACCCTCACCCACCCCCCAACTATTCCCTGTAGTAGCCAGCATCCAAGTAAAGTATTCAAGTGACATGACTACATTTTGGAACTTCAATTAGCTGTCAATTAGCTTCTCAGTCCTGAAACTAGAAAACAGGTTTTCAGCTTTTATTTTTAGGCCTCGAAGACTGAAATTTTTTAAAAGGTTTATTTTCTTATGGAATTCAGAAGGTTTTATAAAGGTACCAAGGAACTCTTAAGTCTTAGAAATTTCCCTGGTAACTTTAGAGGTGCCAATTTTCTAGCCAACCCCGAAAATTCCTTTGATATTTTGATATTCAAAAGCTGTCAGACAGTCTTATCTTCCTCATTGAAAAAGATTAGGTTACTGGTTCCCCCTGAAAATAGCACTCATTTAATTATTTTGTGCCTTCAACCTGCACTACCCCAGACCTAAATCTAGTCCTTTTTTTTCCTGTTTTTTTTGGGGGGGGGTATAGTTACTTCCTTAATAAGAATAACATGTGGGCATATATGCATGCTCTCTTATGCTGCAGGTGTGTGTGGGCAACACCCCCCCCACACACACCCACTCCTAGGCATAGGCATAGGCATATTCATACAGATGCTGAAGGGTGTGGGAAAGCTTTATGGGAATAAACTGCTCTTATCAAATTTTCATTTGAATGACCCGCCAGAAGGTCAATTATTCCCAGGGCTGGACCTCTCATTTCTATGTCTTTTTTACAGATGAAACTAAACCAAGATCTTGAAATTACTTTTCTTTGTTTTAGATCTAAAGAATCCATACTGAGGCCCTGATAGTTTTACTTTTGTCATTCAATGCCACAACTCATTTCACTGCTTTAGATTGCAACATTTGCATCTCCAATTCTATTCAACAAACATGTACTAAGTGCTTGGGGCACCATGCTGGCACAGAGACACAAATGAATAAATGAATGAATAAATAAATAAATAAATAAATCCAACAACCACATCCCATTTCCTGCTCTCAAACTAGGGACATTTCTCATATATTAAAAAAAAAAAAAAAAAAACCAACAGTTCACCATTTTTGCTTCTTCCCTTCACCTACCAGGCATAATAATATTGGAAAATCCCAGCTTCCTTGTAATGGACACCCCATGAGTAAATACTGATGAGTATTCTCTTCTGATTTGTTCAATATCTCCATGCAGGAGTTGAAGAGAAACAGCTAATCCTAGAACAAAAGAAAAAGAATAAAAACAAAAACGTAGCATCAGTATAACATGGAACCATAGGAAAGATTAAATTCAAAACTTTCCTCTTTCAAAATAAAAATTAAAAATACTTGCATGAAAAAAGTTTTGATAAAACTCCCAATTGCAAATCATCCACAAATTTATTCCTCTATAAGCAAGAAATCAAGATAATGAAAGAATGCCTCAGCAGAAAGCAAAGCATATGATGAATTGAGCTACCATCCTATTTACAAGCTTCATCAAGATGGATAATATTACTACACTCCCATTTCAATTATCTAGAGACACCCATCTTGGCTTAGAACATTTCATTCTAAAAAAAAGGAAAAAAAATATTTTTTTCTAGAAGACTACTTATTTAAATATCATAGGGAAAACAAAACCTGGAAAAAATTAGGCTTATTTTCACAGCATTATCTTAAAGTATCATTAATATCTGTGTTCATGATGAAATAAATAGCAATTCTTCAATACTCTATGCAATGAAAACTCACAATTAGCTTCATTGGGCAATGAGTTAACTACAGTATAAAACTGACTCACTTTGGCCATTATTCATAGAGATTTGGTAGCTGGCATAGTCAAAGCATGTAATTTAAAGAAACTTTTATCAAGATGGTTCTGTAACCCCAAGGAAGAAAAAAAGTAAAACATAATTTCAACTGCATCTGAATGTAGGTGGCAACAGTGGAAAGACCATTGGAATGGACTTAATGTAATTAGAATCAGAATATAGTCTGACCTCACCTATGCCATTTCCTATGTAACCTTGGACAAATGACAAACTAAAGTTTTCTTTTCCTAATCTGAAAAACAAAACGGAAGTAGCAATTCTCAGTTACTTGGCTCACAGACTTCTTGAGAACAAATATGAATATTGTTCATAAGCTGCAAATTCTTGACAAAGTTAAGGTGCTATCACAGATTCCCGCAATGTTAACGCTAACTAATGAGTTTCAACCCACACCCATAAACCAATAGCCCTACACCCCTGCCACAACATGCCTAAGAAGTGGTCATCCAATGTATAACCTACATTGGATTGCTTGCTGGGAGGGAGGGAGAAACTCAAAATCTTATAAAAAATGAATGTTGAAAACTATCTTTCCATGTAATTGGAAAATATAAAATACTATTTACAAAAAGAAGAAAAAAGTGGCCATGCAGCCTCTACTTTTGAGACCATCAATAAGAGACATACCAGGCAGCCTTTCCAGTTTTGTACAACCCCAGTTGTTGGCAAGTTTTCCCTGCCATTAAGCCCAAATCTGTGACATGGCAACTTCCATCCACTGCTCTTGGTTCCAGTGCTTTTAAAATGTTCTGCTTCTCTGTTTCCTTCTGAACTTCCATCAGTTCTCTCCTCTCTAATCTTCAATAATCTGTGAGTTCCTTGAGGGTAGTTACTGATTTTTAAAATTTTTCTTTGTATCCAGCACTTAGCACAGTGCCTGGCATTTAGTTGGTGCTCAATAAGTGCTTGTTAAGTTGTTGACTTCTTTGCATTTTAAAAAATGCTTCAAACCAAAAGAATGAAAAAATAGAAGACAATGTGAAATATCTCATTGGAAAAACAACTGACATGGAAACTAGATCCAGGAGAGATAATTTTAAAATTATTGGACTATCTGAAAGCCATGATCAAAAAAAGAGCCTAGACATCATCTTTCAAGCAATTATCAAGGAAAACTGCCCTGATATTCTAGAACCAGAGAGTAAAATAGAAATTGAAAGAATCCACTGATCACCGCCTGAAAGAGATCCCCAAAGGAAAACTCTTAGGAACATTGTAGCCAAATTCCAGAGTTCCCAGGTCAAGGAGAAAATATTGCAAGCAGCCAGAAAGCAACAATTCAAGTGTTGTGGAAACACAATCAGAATAACACAAGATTTAGCAGCTTCTACATTAATAGACTGCAGGTCTTGGAATATGATATTCCCAAGGGCAAAGAAGATAGGATTACAGCCAAGAATCACCTACCCAGCAAAACTGAGCATAATCCTTCGGGGGAAAAATGAATATTCAGTGAAATAGAGGACTTTCAAGCATTTTTGATGAAAAGACCAGAACTGAACAGAAAATTTGACTTTCAAATACAAGACTCAAGAGAAACATGAAGAGGTAAACAGGAAAGAGAAATCATAAGGGACTTATTAAGACTGAATTGTTTACATTCTTGCATGGAAAGATGATATTTGTAACTCATGAGACCTTTGTCAGTATTACGGTAGTGGGAGGGAAAAAATTATATGTGTGTATATAGATAGATAGATAGGTGGATAAATAGATAGATAGATAGATAGATAGATAGATAGATAGATAGATAGATA